TTTGAGACGATGACGAACAATCCTAGATTTTACTAACCCTAATGTCTTAGAACGTACGTATGGCGTGGATTGATTAAGTGTCTCGGGATAAAAACATTTTCGTCGGCGTAAAAATGCAGTATGCTATGTAGTTAGTAAAACCAGTTCTTTGAAGCTCGTCCTCGTATCTCCTTCTCCTGAACGCCGTAACCATACGTATGTATATACATATGTACGTACATATTTGCTTAAGGCACTATTTTATTTGCACTATATTGAATCCAACATGTAAAATGCAATAAACAAAAAATCATTTTCTATTTCTTCGTTATTAGCATAAATATATGGAACTTTAGCATATGTAGAATTATGACAAATTAATCGAATAAAATGGCAATCAAGAAAGCTTGACATAATATCATGATTCATTTAAATCATTTGTAGACGCCATTTCTCGACAAGAAAATTGTTCCGCCAACTATCACATATTTATGACGTGTAAATGTGCTAAGGGCATTAAGTGAGATCCAGTTCCACTGGTTCGACTGTCTACCCTTCCGGCGTGGGGGATTCGTACGTTGCGAATCACGTTGGTAGCCATCTATCAATCGGGACACAGAAACGTGCCTTTCCTCGCGGCGCTCCGCACATCCTTATTTATAGCGGAATGATCGGCCCATAATTACAGACTCCATGACGAAAACGACCTTCTGCTTATCTAAACAGGGGCTACGGCACCCACTCGCATACACGCAGGTCGATATTTCGGAAATAAACTGCAGAACTGTCCATTTCACGCATCAATTACATGTTTATTCACGTTTGCTGCTCGTCAGATGATAGCTACTTATCTCGGACTTATCTCCGACTTGCTACTTATACTCCCGAAGATGACCCATATGCTTGTGGCTGCGTGATGATTTGCCGGCAGCAAGGTCATATTCTGGATAATTTTTACAATTTTTAAAATAATATAGTACATTGTGAAAAATGCAAAAAATTGTTCTAGATTTATACAAATACTTTTCAATTTTTATTAAAAAGTGTCTTCTGATATTCAAAAATTATAATAATTTAAAGTGGCGAAGGGAATTTCTTAACGCGCAAATAACAAACATAGAGGATAAATTTTTTATAATAATAGAGAGATTGTTGTTTTATTTTTTATTGATAAGATTTAATGAAAACGTATAATTGTTTCCTCGAGGTCTCTTACGTCAGCTTTGTTTATATAACTGGTGTGTAATTATACTTTTTTAAAGTAAATCTGCCCTCCACTTGCCTAATCTCATTTTAAAATATTTTTTCACTTTTTGCATTTTATTCCATTGCCTACATATTAATAATCCACAAATAATTATGCTAACATTTATGTAAACAATAATTCTTTTAAATAATTATCAATATCATCTATAATCGCTTCAAATAAATTATTTATAAAGTCATAAATTATATCTTATGATGTTTTAATGCTATTAGGTATAGTAAAAAGAAATCCATTATTTTTCCATTTCATGCAAAAATAATGGATTTCTTTTTACTACACCTAATATTAAAATATTTATGTTAACTTAATTTTAAATTTAATTTTGTATCTTCTCTCTTAACTGAAAAAAATGTGTTTATTAAAATATTCTTATCGTAAAGACAATATATATGACTAAGGTTTCATTGCTTGTTTATAGAATAATATAATAGAATATTATAGAATAATATAATAAATATATTAAAACTAATAATTATATATACATTCTGATAAAAAAATGTTTCTTATAGAGCAAAGTAGTAAAATCATACATTAATGTACTATTTCGAGTAAGCCAGATCTCATTCGTTCTTTTGGCTATTAATGAACAGTTTATTTTTTCAAATAAAGTATTCAAACGTTTATACATCAGAAGACGCTTCAAAAGCGTCGGAACGGCTGGACGAAGTCTAAACGGAATATCTTGTGTTGAGCATTAACCTCGACGAATCAATTATTTTCTTCTTAATGTAGATATGAATTATTTATTTTCATTTGTAATTGTTGTATTATTTTACTTACAGTTTTGATTTCTACATATTTGTTCAAATAATTTTCGTAAATCTCTCATACTTATTTAATGTACAAATGTATAACAACAATCGTTAATCTACTTTAAATTTAAATAATATTTTAAATAATTTTTTCTTTATGAAAGAAATCTTGTCTTTGAAATTTATTTCGATTGAGGTACAAATTAAAAGAGTTGATTTTGTCAACTTTGTAAATGTTAAAAATTCAGACAAACTGATGAAAATAAAAATCGGAGCGTAAATCGGATGTAATGGGAGACGGAGCGTAAATCGGATGTAATGAGAAAAGCGTAAACGAAACTTCTAGAAGACGAAAATTGAAACATCAAAATATGACAGAAGCGTAAATGCTATATTTTATTGTTTCAATTTTCGCTTTTTAGAAATTTCGTTCATGCTTCTGTTATTTTTCCATAACATCCGATTTACGCTCCAATTTTTGTTTTCATAAGAGAAGACATGAAGATATTAAAAAGCAATCCTAATTGATCATTAGATAACTATTTTAAGATATACTATTTCAAAAATTTTGATTTTACTTTGCTATTACTCTTAGCTACGCAGTAATTATATTCCTGTGTTAGTAAATTTATAATAATATTTATTCATTATAGACCATATAATTTACCTAATCATATTTTTCAGACTTTTAAAAAAAATTTCTATTTTATTTGCTTGCCATATAAATTAATTTTTCTATCATTTTCATTAATCCTTATTATAAGTAAGTAGTATTATAAGTAATTATAATTCATCAGTAAACATTCTTGAAGTTATGCATCACTATCGAATTTGCATCACTATTGCTTCAGAGTTTAATTATAGTTAGAATTCCATTAAATTGGAAATTGGTAATCGTTCAGATAATTAAGATATACATCTTGCTAAATATATACCTGTAGGGTCTTGTTTTTACAATATTACTATAACCGATAAAAAAACGATGAATTTGCTTACATCTCTTGCTTCTCGCGAATCGAAGCATACGCGAAATAATCATAACAGGGACATAAACCGAAGTAAAAGGATGCTGTATTAACCAAGCGGGCATCATGCGAACGATTGGGAGAGGAAGCCAAAACTTGTACAAGAAAGATCTGAGCTGCGTATCCCGTTTGGGGGCCGAGCCGAACGATCTGAGGCCCTCGTTCGAGCTAACCCGAGAGAACTAGAAGGAGAAGGCAACCCCCCGCGCCTTACAATGCAGCCTGATTTATGGCCCGGGCGCACATACATAGAGTTACACACGATATCATAATACCATTAATTCTTCGTCAAATTCCCCGCTGACTGAATCATACTGGCCGCGCAGTAAATCACGCGGGGCGACTAATGTGAGCGCGACCAGCGCGCTCGGCTGTTTTATCTTCTTTGAGCCACGAGGGCAGGTGAATCTAGTCTTGGTCTCCGCTGAATTACTGTTACCCGTTCTGACCGCACCCCCACACTACCTTTCGTTCGTATCTCAAATCGCGCGCGAGCTCATTTCCGTGTGTTTTATAAAGTACATATTCGGAAAGATCCTAGAGAGAGCACGAGTGTGTGGTGACGCGACCGACGGTTTTATTGCGTTATCGAATATTTATTCCAAAATGTATTTACATGTATAATTGCTATTCCCCTGCTTAAACTAATTGTTTCTCTTTGTCTTATGCCTTATTTGTTTTCTCTCAATCGTGATAAATGTAGCAATATTTTGCCCTTAATAATTGCTAATTTATATTTTATTCAATTATTTGTATATTTGCTTGACAATTACACTTAACAAGGTACTATACAAAATATTTTCTTACACGAATTATGATCAGAAAGTTGCTTTATAAAGTGCTTTAAATTTTTCAATACAGTAATGTTAAATTTAATTTATTGATTATTCGCTATTTGATATTATTAATAATAATATAACTTTTAAAGACTTTAAAATAGATAAAAAATTTTAGAGATATAAAAATATTTTCCAATTATTATTAATAATTATTTTGTTATTCGGTAATTTAATAATTTGTCAAATATTTCTTGCAGTATCCGTGGATAAAATGCGTATATTGCTCTAAAGATGTTTATTTTGTAATTATCTCACAATAAAATATATGTTCTTACATATTGTATAATATATAATATTTTTATTTAATTAATATGCACGTAATGCGCATTTCGACACATCAGATACTGTAATTTATTAATTGTTGTTCTACTACTCTTATGTAATATCTATTTAACTTTAGAAATACTGAATAGCGATCATTTGTATAAAATCTACTGAATATTATTATTTGTTTATTTTAATCTTTTCTTAATCTTTTTATACAAAAATTACATTATAGAGAGCCTCATTACGCAAATTAATATATTGCTGCACTTAAAACATAAAAATAAAGTAATTATTTACAAATATTTGCGTTTTAAATCAAGTGTTATATTTCAGATGTCAAAATTTATATATTTCTGTGTTTATCGAATATAAAATGTGTGTTTAAAACACGAATAACGGTTTAAGTAGAGATTGTTATCATCAAATTGAATAAATTTGTGAGGTCGTGTATTTTAGCACTTCTACGCTTTTGATAGATAGATGATATTTCGAAAGTTAAAAAGAATAAATATATACATTCATACATATTAATATATTAAGCAAAATATTACATTGTATGTCATATTTAAAAATTTAAATGTGATGTACGATTTAATATATTGTTTAATATATTAATATAGATGAATATATTTATTAAAAATGTTATAAAATAAAACACTCAGATTTTTTTTAACTCTTAAACAGTTGTAATCTTAACAATATAACATATAAATTAATGTAATTGTTATTAATTTTCTCTTTTACCGATTTAATAAAAAATAAAGAGCAAGTTTCATTCGCAAACAAAAAAAGAAGAAACAGGACATGTATTTTGAAAACCACATCATTTTTAGCGATAATATTTCAAAGATAGATAAAATAAATGACTTACTCTGCCCAATGTGAACCCTCTTCATCCATGGATATATTTGAGGCGGGTTAGTGCCAGAAGTGTTCCCCTTGTTGGACGAATTATTACCCGTGCTAGAGGTACTGGATGTAGAGGAAGCGGGCGACGAAGCAGAAGATGCTGTTGTCAACGTTGAATTTCCTTCGCCGACGCCCCTCGAGCTACCACTCGGTGGTGAAGCAGCGGACGCAGCCACAGACGACCTTGACGAGCTACCAGGTGGTGAAGTCAATCCTGATGCGGCTTTACTTGTACCAGGTGCGACTAAGGGCGTTGGACTATTTCTCGAAGTAGATGTGGTTAAATCTTGCGGAGATGCCACACTGGTGGACGATGTCGAATCAGCATATTTGCAGCTGGACGTTGATGGTGCTGAGGGTGCCGAAGCACCCTGCAGAAGAGGTGTTGTTGGATCCGCGTGAAGTTGTTGCTGAGGATGATGTGGTTGCTGATGATGTTGCGACTGTTGAGCGTGCATACCGTGTTGTTGTGACGTCGTAGTCGCATTTAACCGAGGCTGCGGCTGCAGTTGAGTATAGTCTATCATTCCTGTTGGTGCTGTATGTTGCATACCCGACGCCGGTGTGGCATAAGGATGTTGAGGATAATGCTGTTGAGGCGAATAACAAGGTGCAGGATAGCTGGTAGAGGCTGCATTTGGATTGTAGTACTCGCCACCAGCCGGCGATGCTGCCTGCATCGGTTCTCCAGGTGAATTCGCGGTCGGTCTTGGCTGTTGCTGTGGCTGTTGACCCGCGTAGCATGATGCGAGCGAGTTGACGAACTGATAGGAACTCATTCTTCACGTACCTTCACCTGCCGTCAACGTCACTATATCAATATCGTGCACGTCTATGTTCCGTCATTCACGAAAACACTGACGTTGTGTTCGATTGGTTGAGGCGGTTCAACAACGCGCGTCGTCATTAAGTATAGAAACTTGTCATCGTGTTGCAATGACAAAAATCGCGCGACAGACACACGTGACCGGCTACTCCAAGTACAAATTTCACCTTGTTCGTCGAACGATTCACAGCTATCACGACCTGTTACACGCGACAGAAACACGTCCCTAAGCGATTCGATAATGAACGAGGGGTTCAGGACTAATAGAGAGAGAGGCAGACGTCTGGCGGCAGGCGGGTCGAGCCTGAATTCGAACCGACCTGCGAGTCAAGTTTATGAGGGCCACGTGGGCCTGGGCTATAAAACTGTCTTCTGCTTCTTTATGAGCTCAAGAGTCGCGATTACCTACAGAGAACTCGTGGGCCCATCGTGCAGTAGCGCGTAACGAACAGCTTATCGAGGCGCCCCATTGAAGATGACCTTGTAAAGTCTCTTCTCAATGAAATAACATGTCAAGTAACACATATGTACGCGCATTAAAATTATTTATGCGATGATTAATTGCGCTTGAATGTTGTCACAGGTGTTGCACTTAACAGACGGCTTTATATATCGCGGCAACGGCAACGCGGTAGAAGCTCGACTTCACGGTAAAGGGTAAAGAGTGTGTACCCGCACGCGAGTTCGCCGCCGTTCTTGTTGCGTGCGCGAAGGGTGGTTGGTATCGTACTGAAGGCTTCGCCACGATCCAACGGAAGGCCGGTGTGTGCGGTAGCTTGTCACGTGCCCGCGCTCTCTGCGTGTCAGAGGAGCGCCTCGACCAATCCCTGCCGTTCGTCAAACCTTGATTGGTCTCTCCGTCGGCGTACGATTCTTCAACCCCGTTCCTTGCGTCTCCGTCGAGTCTCCGCTCTGCCGCTGGCGCTCGTCGTGTGGTAGTGTTGCCCGGCTGCTACCCGACGTGACAGGAACCGATGAGAGGGGTGTGCGTAAGAGAGAGAAAGAGGGCGAGAGAGGGGTCAAGGAGAGGGGATAGCACCGTCAGGGGGGCTAATGGAGAGATATTCGGGAGCCCTGAAACCGCTGGTGGGGGAGAAGTATCTCGATCGCTCTCTCGTTCTCCTCTGCAGCCTTCTAGCCGCGACGTCACCAAGAAGCAGTCTTCCGTCCGCTTTGCGAGGGGGGCTACGCGCGCACGCGCCCCCTACTGTATAGTCTCGCGGTTGAAGACAGACGAAAAAGAAAAGGGGTGGTACGAATACCGAAGGCGCGATTGTTCCTTACTCGCCCGAAAACGATTCACCCATTAATATCACCGTATCTTCGTCGATTTCATCCGTCGCGAATCCATTTTAGCTCCATCATACGTATCGTATCTCTTCTTGATCAGGAGATGGAAGAAAAGTACGTTTTATAAGTGCAAATTGCTGTACTTGCATATTGCAACGCGGGACCATGAATCGGAGTATGATCGGGCTCACTTTCGACCGCTCTTTTCCTTGATGTGCATATATCTGACCTTTCGTTAACAAAATTCCGATGAGATCGTCGCGCGTTCGTCGCGAGAGACGCAGATTCAACCTGAAAACGTGTGATTCTCCAACCGCGGCTAAAGAAGGGGCGCGTGCACATAAGTCAGCCCGGTGGCCGCGGTTGACAGTTTTATGAGAGTTTGATAGTCTTCGCCGCTCACTCCTCTTTTCACAACGAAAGGACAGGAGAGAAAGGGCGGCCTAGAGGGAAAGAAATGCGTAAAGGAAAGAAAAGAGAAAAGTAGAAAAACAGAGAGAGAGAGAGAGAGAGAGAGAGAGAGAGACGCGCACTACGCACCACACTCTTTATTGTCCCATAAATTCAAACCTGTTGCCTGTAGCCGAGAAAGACAAGGAGGGAAGAGCGTGCACGAGGTAGAATCCTCTCCCAATCGCGATTCGATTGACGCCCCCGTTATCGCTCGTACGGCGAACCCGGACGCAACTCGTAACTCACTGAGCCGGCCTGAGAGGAGAGCCTTTGGAGTTGGCGGCTCTAAGCAGAAGCATGTGTGACGTAGTAGCCAGTTGGTCAAACGGGGGGCATTCCGGGGTAACACGGGGCGGAGGGGACAGTTGAGGAGGCGGAGCTCTCTTTGCTCATCACAGATAAGACTTTAAATGAGTTTTTTTTATGCTTTATGCAAAATTTCTTTGACATTTTTATAGTGTATTCGCAGTATTCTCTTCTTCGCATGTGGATTAATTTATTGAGTTTATGTTTCTAAAATTTTATTTCTTCAAATTCCAAAATTTTGCCTTTATCTATTATTGAAATTTTATTGTTATTAAAAAAATAACATAAAGATTTTATAAAAACAACAATTTTTCAGCTGTTACAATAAAATTAAAACTTAAATTGAGATTTCTTCATTATTTTCCCTGTAATGTCTTTTCTTATTTGCGTTATTTCTATCACGTAGATCGCTTTAATTCGCAGCGTTAATAATTTGGAAGGAAGAATAAAATTTTGAATATAGGCCGATAGTGTGGCAGTTGCTCGCCAGATGTGGTGAGTGCGGCTGTTCTCGTTGAATTGTGGCGCGCGCCCGCCCCCGGCCGTCCTACCCTTTCCTCTTCTTCTCCCCACTACTTAATCGTTTACCCCACTGCTCAGTCGAAACTGGGTATCTCTTCTACTTTGAGTCGTCGCATCTGTGTACGTATATTGCCGTATCCCCACTATTTCCATAGCATTCGCCACTTCAGAGTTGGCTGTTTATCCTACACTATCATTTTAGCCCTCTTCTTTCACGTGGCTGATGAAAAATCGTGATCCAAAGACTCGGCTGTAAAAACAGTGAAATTCTATTTTATCATTTAATGACTAATGCTCCACTATCTTTTATGATTATTACTGCCACTTTTAATATTTATTTACAAAGCATTTCAGTTTTTATATTTTAATAAAAAATACATACAAATGTATTTTTTATCAAATCTATGAAGATAGAAAGAAAGAATGAGAAATAAGAGTTATTATACGCACAATAAAATATATACTATACACAATAGAACTATAGAATATACTATATATAATATACTATAGAATATACTATACAATATATATTATATTATAGAAAGATATATGGATGAACATCATGTAGATTATCGACCTAATTTTTTTGAATTTTAAACATTTTGCATATTTTTTATTATTGCTCTTATTATTGCTATTATTTTGTTATAGATTTACAATTATTTTACAAATTACATTATGAAAATGCAGAAAAATCAATAAACACAAGTCATAAAAATAATATAAAATGATGTAATAACTTTTATTCGGGTTTTCATATTTAATTTTTGAAATTATTTTACTCTCTTTACTGCGAGCGTGTGCGCGCGTGTCAGCGGGTCAATGTGTTTCGATTTAACGCAATTGATGCCTGATGATGACGAAATTCTATGACAAGAAATAAGGCCTGGTCGGCCTACTTCAGTCGATCTAAGGTGCATTGCCTTGAGGTCTCGTGTCACTCTTCATGGTAGACCCTCTCCATTAGAATTTCCAATAAAGCTGTCGCAGGTGTAAAAAACATATCAAGACCCCCATGAATCATGTGTCGCAAAGCGGAGCCGCCAAGACACGTGTATCTGTTATGCTTTCTCTCCATAATTCGCGGGATGGTTTATGCACCCGTTTGTCTGTTCTCTCTACCTCTCTTTTTGCACTATTATAATCTATACCTCGCACTATCATCCATCCAGTGTCGATAGTTCGATGACTCTGCCAAAGCAATTATTATCATTGAAATTAGGTTTTAATCGTATACATGAAGAATGATTCGAATCATCTATAAATGTTTAACCTTCGGGCAATTGTGAATCGATGACATCATAAATAAATAATAAGGTGAACAGTAAGAATTCTCTAATAGCGATTCTAGTTGAGAGATATGCGTTAATTTATATCAACATGATGTATGAATTTATTGATTGCTTAGTGAGGAAAACCTTTCCGTCGGAGAGCCCTATAATCGGTGTCATCATTCATTCGGCAATTATGAATTTAACAGATCACATCAAATTAATTGTAACTATCAAGTTAAGATTGGATTTCGCAAAGTATCCGGTTTACAAGTAATTTTCAGTCAATACACGCTATGAATTCATAATTCATTGTAGCTCTCTAATATATAGAAGTATAAATTAAATATCTTTAATCTTCATATGAAATAAGATGAGATGAGAAGAAACTCATAATATTCAGAAACAAATATGTGTATAGATATAAATATTTATTTAAAATATTACTTATATCTGTACGAAGATAATGTATAATAGTTGCATTCAGTAGAAAAAGCAGCTTTGCAAAATTCTTTATGATTGGTATTGCTCTTAGTTCCTCATTGGATCTAAATATATAAACCAATCGTATATATATATATATATATGTGTGTGTGTGTGTGTGTGTGTGTGTGTGTGTGTGTGTGTGTGTGTGTGTGTGTGTGTGTGTGTGTGTGTACGTGTAAATTTATAATAAAATTTAATTTTATACGTATATATTCATTTCATGTCAAAATTCCGTATAATACGCAAAAACAAATTTTACGTAAGAGAATTGGCAGAGAAAAAAATATATTCAATTCGAGGTTCACAGCTAAGACGCGTTGCACAAAAACCAATACGTATCTGCGTGCCGGCCATGATGGATTGTTGGAGCTATGGGAAACTATCTGTCAAGCACAATATCGACCCTCGTTCTCTCTGTCCAACCCCTGCAAACTCAGGGTTCACTCTCGTTGCCGCCGTCCCTCCTGGGGGTGCGTTCTGCAATGTAGGTTTACCTACACATTGCCATACAAACCTTTCTCAGCCCCCTGTTTCCATCCTCTTTCCCCTCTTTTTCCGTTTTCGCCTAAATCTTCGACCATTTCGCGAACAACCTATCTTCTCTTTTATAGATTTTGTTTGCCTGAAAATGCATTCTAATGCAGTGTCTAAAAAATATTTAAATTTTTAAGAAAATATAACTTAAAAAAGAAAAAATTATTTGTGTGCACATATAAATATTTATTAATTTTTTTATATGTACACATATGTATCATTTATTATAAAAAATAAATATAAACAGCTGCATACTAACAGAGATTGTATATATTAACAGAAATTCTTATCCTAAATATTAATATTATATTATAATTTTTTCTTATAATTATTATTTAAAAAATACGATCTTTACATATTTTTTAGTTTAAAATATACATACTCAAAATATACATACTCTTTAATCAATAAATAATATACATTTTTTATTTTGTCTTAATAATGTATCATGTAATAAACATACATACATACTTAATTACAATATTATTAATAAACACTGCAGGCATAATATATACAACTATATATAATTTTACGGAACAAATGAATTTAAAAAATACATTATTTATGAGCATCGATATAATATTGTATCAATCACAATTATAATATGAATTACTTGAAATTAATTATAAATT